CGTGACCCTCTGTGTGGTGATCATCATCATCGCCGTGGTCTCTCCACTGCTAGATTGACACTGGTGGTGATGGTCTCTACCATGTGTGTGTGTCTACTCCACGTGACCCTCTGTGTGGTGATCATCATCATCATCGTGGTCTCTCTACTGCTAGATTGACACTGGTGGTGATGGTCTCTACCCTGTGTGTGTGTCTACCCCACGTGTCCCTCTGTGTGGTGACCATCATCATCATCGTGGTCTCTCTACTGCTAGACTGACACTGCTGGTGATGGTGTCTACCCTGTGTGTGTGTCTACCCCACGTGTCCCTCTGTGTGGTGACCATCATCACCGTTGTGGTCTCTCCACTGCTAGACTGACACTGCTGGTGATGGTGTCTACCCTGTGTGTGTGTCTACCCCACGTGTCCCTCTGTGTGGTGACCATCATCATCATCGTGGTCTCTCTACTGCTAGACTGACATTGTGGTGGTGATGGTCTCTACCCTGTGTGTGTGTCTACACGTGTCTCTCTATGTGTTGGTCATCACTGGTCTCTCTACTGCTAGACTGACACTGCTGTGGTGATGGTCTCTACCCTGTGTGTGTGTCTACCCCACGTGTCCCTCTGTGTGGGCATCATCATCACTGGTCTCTCTACTGCTAGACTGGACACTGTGATGGTGTCTACCCTGTGTGTGTGTCTACACGTGTCCCTGTGTGTGTGTGTGTGTCTACACGTGTCCCTGTGTGTGTGTGTCTACACGTGTCCCTGTGTGTGTGTGTCTACACGTGTCCCTGTGTGTGTGTGTGTCTACACGTGTCCCTGTGTGTGTGTGTGTCTACACGTGTCCCTGTGTGTGTGTGTTGTCTACACGTGTCCCTGTGTGTGTGTGTGTCTACACGTGTCCCTGTGTGTGTGTGTGTCTACACGTGTCCCTGTGTGTGTGTGTGTCTACACGTGTCCCTGTGTGTGTGTGTGTCTACACGTGTCCCTGTGTGTGTGTGTGTCTACACGTGTCCCTGTGTGTGTGTGTGTCTACACGTGTCCCTGTGTGTGTGTGTCTACACGTGTCCCTGTGTGTGTGTGTGTCTGCACGTGTCCCTGTGTGTGTGTTGCCGTGTCCGGTGTTGTGTGGTGTCTGCACGTGTCCCTGTGTGTGTGTGTGTCTTGCACGTGTCCCTGTGTGTGTGTGTGTCTACACGTGTCTCTGTGTGTGTGTGTGTCTACACGTGTCTCTGTGTGTGTGTGTGTCTACACGTGTCTCTGTGTGTGTGTGTGTCTACACGTGTCTCTGTGTGTGTGTCTACACGTGTCTCTGTGTGTGTGTCTACACGTGTCTCTGTGTGTGTGTCTACACGTGTCTCTGTGTGTGTGTCTACACGTGTCTCTGTGTGTGTGTCTACACGTGTCCCTCTTTGTGTGTGTGTCTACACGTGTCCCTCTGTGTGTGTGTGTGTCTACACGTGTCCCTCTATGTGTGTGTGTGTGTGTCTACACGTGTCCCTCTATGTGGTGTGTGTGTGTGTGTCTACACGTGTCCCTCTATGTGTGTGTGTGTGTCTACACGTGTCCCTCTATGTGTGTGTGTGTGTCTACACGTGTCCCTGTGTGTGTGTGTGTCTACACGTGTCCCTGTGTGTGTGTGTGTCTACACGTGTCCCTGTGTGTGTGTGTGTCTGCACGTGTCCCTGTGTGTGTGTGTGTCTGCACGTGTCCCTGTGTGTGTGTGTGTGTCTGCACGTGTCCCTGTGTGTGTGTGTGTGTGTCTGCACGTGTCCCTGTGTGTGTGTGTGTCTACACGTGTCCCTGTGTGTGTGTGTGTCTACACGTGTCCCTGTGTGTGTGTGTGTCTACACGTGTCCCTGTGTGTGTGTGTGTCTACACGTGTCCCTGTGTGTGTGTGTGTCTACACGTGTCCCTGTGTGTGTGTGTGTCTACACGTGTCCCTGTGTGTGTGTGTGTCTACACGTGTCCCTGTGTGTGTGTGTGTCTACACGTGTCCCTGTGTGTGTGTGTGTCTACACGTGTCCCTCTGTGTGTGTGTGTGTGTCTACACGTGTCTCTGTGTGTGTGTGTGTGTCTACACGTGTCTCTGTGTGTGTGTGTGTGTGTCTACACGTGTCTCTGTGTGTGTGTGTGTGTGTCTACACGTGTCTCTGTGTGTGTGTGTCTACACGTGTCTCTGTGTGTGTGTGTGTGTCTACACGTGTCTCTGTGTGTGTGTGTGTACACGTGTCTCTGTGTGTGTGTGTGTGTCTACACGTGTCTCTGTGTGTGTGTGTGTGTGTCTACACGTGTCTCTGTGTGTGTGTGTGTGTGTCTACACGTGTCTCTGTGTGTGTGTGTGTGTGTCTACACGTGTCTCTGTGTGTGTGTGTGTGTCTACACGTGTCTCTGTGTGTGTGTGTGTGTCTACACGTGTCTCTGTGTGTGTGTGTTGTCTACACGTGTCCTCTGTGTGTGTGTGTCTACACGTGTCCCTCTGTGTGTGTGTCTACACGTGTCCCTCTGTGTGTGTGTGTGTCTACACGTGTCCCTCTTGTGTGTGTGTGTGTCTACACGTGTCCCTCTGTGTGTGTGTGTGTGTCTACACGTGTCCCTCTGTGTGTGTGTGTGTCTACACGTGTCCCTCTGTGTGTGTGTGTTCTACACGTGTCCCTCTGTGTGTGTGTGTCTACACGTGTCCCTCTGTGTGTGTGTGTCTACACGTGTCCCTCTGTGTGTGTGTGTGTCTACACGTGTCCCTCTGTGTGTGTGTGTGTGTCTACACGTGTCCCTCTGTGTGTGTGTGTGTGTCTACACGTGTCTGTGTGTGTGTGTGTGTGTCTACACGTGTCTCTGTGTGTGTGTGTGTGTCTACACGTGTCTCTGTGTGTGTGTGTGTGTGTCTACACGTGACCCTCTGTGTGGGCATCACCATCGTGGTCTCTCTACTGCTAGACTGACACTGATGATGGTGATGGTGTCTACCCTGTGTGTGTCTACCCCACGTGTCCCTCTGTGTGGTGACCATCATCATCACCGGGGTCTCTCTACTGCTAGATTGACACTGCTGTGGTGATGGTCTCTACCCTGTGTGTGTCTACCCCACGTGTCCCTCTGTGTGGTGACCATCATCATCACCGTGTTCTCTCTACTGCTAGACTGACACTGCTGGTGATGGTCTCTACCCTGTGTGTGTGTCAACACGTGTCCCTCTGTGTGGTGACCATCATCATCATCGTGGTCTCTCCACTGCTAGACTGACAGTGGTGGTGATGGTCTCTACCCTGTGTGTGTCTACCCCACGTGTCCCTCTGTGTGGGCATCATCTTCACTGGTCTCTCTACTGCTAGACTGACACTGGTGGTGATGGTCTCTACCCTGTGTGTGTGTCTACCCCACGTGTCCATCTGTGTGGTGACCATCATCATCATCGTGGTCTCTCTACTGCTAGACTGACACTGCTGTGGTGATGGTCTCTACCCTGTGTGTGTGTCTACCCCACGTGACCCTCTGTGTGGTGACCATCATCACCACCGTTGTCTCTCTACTGCTAGACTGACTGGTGGTGGTGATGGTCTCTACCATGTGTGTGTGTCTACTCCACGTGACCCTCTGTGTGGTGATCATCATCATCGCCGTGGTCTCTCCACTGCTAGATTGACACTGGTGGTGATGGTCTCTACCATGTGTGTGTGTCTACTCCACGTGACCCTCTGTGTGGTGATCATCATCATCATCGTGGTCTCTCTACTGCTAGATTGACACTGGTGGTGATGGTCTCTACCCTGTGTGTGTGTCTACCCCACGTGTCCCTCTGTGTGGTGACCATCATCATCATCGTGGTCTCTCTACTGCTAGACTGACACTGCTGGTGATGGTGTCTACCCTGTGTGTGTGTGTCTACCCCACGTGTCCCTCTGTGTGGTGACCATCATCACCGTTGTGGTCTCTCCACTGCTAGACTGACACTGCTGGTGATGGTGTCTACCCTGTGTGTGTGTCTACCCCACGTGTCCCTCTGTGTGGTGACCATCATCATCATCGTGGTCTCTCTACTGCTAGACTGACATTGTGGTGGTGATGGTCTCTACCCTGTGTGTGTGTCTACACGTGTCTCTCTATGTGTTGGTCATCACTGGTCTCTCTACTGCTAGACTGACACTGCTGTGGTGATGGTCTCTACCCTGTGTGTGTGTCTACCCCACGTGTCCCTCTGTGTGGGCATCATCATCACTGGTCTCTCTACTGCTAGACTGGACACTGTGATGGTGTCTACCCTGTGTGTGTGTCTATCCTACGTGTCCCTCTGTGTGGTGACCATCATCATCACCGTTGTCTCTCTACTGCTAGACTGACACTGCTGTGGTGATGGTCTCTACCCTGTGTGTGTGTCTACCCCACGTGTCCCTCTGTGTGGTGACCATCATCACCGTAACCCGCCAGAGATTTATCTGAACCGGTCCTGGGCCTCCCCTAGGTCGCCTCGGCCTCGAATCTGTAACCTGGTGTTTGCGGCGTGCGGTGAGCGTGCCACACTGTGTAGCTGCTACTCGCTGACTACAGCACTTGCCCCAGCATTCTGCTAGAGGCTATACGGGGGATCTTTGTCTTCATGTGTGGCTGTGGTGAACAGCACTTGCCCCAGCATTCTGCTAGAGGCTATACGGGGTATCTTTGTCTGTGTACATTTGCGATGAACAGCACTTGCCCCAGTATTCTGCTAGAGGCTATCTGGGGGCTCTTTGTCTGTGTGCTTTTGGGTGGACTGCACTTGCCCCAGTATTCTGCTAGAGGCTATACGGGGTATCTTTGTCTTTGTGTGTGTCTGTGATGGAGAGGACTTGCCCCAGCATTCTGCTAGAGGCTATCTGGGGGCTCTTTGTCTGTGTGCTTTTGGGTGGACCGCACTTGCCCCAGCATTCTGCTAGAGGCTATACGGGGGATCTTTGTCTGTGTACATCTGCGATGAACAGCACTTGCCCTAGCATTCCATGAAGGCTACCCGGGGGCTCTTTGTCTGTGTGCGTGAAGGTGATGGAGGAGGAGGTGGGGGGGGAGGTGGGAGGCGGTGGCCTCCAGGCGATGGCCGATGACGATGAAGACATCGACCAGTACAACGACGACACGTTCGGTGCCGGGGCCACTGGTACGCTGGTGGTGGTGATGGTGGTGGTGGTGGTGATGGTGGTGATGGTGGTGGTGATGGTGGTGGCGGTGATGGTGATGGTGGTGCTGGTGGCGCTGGTGGTGGTGATGGTGGTGGTGATGGTGGTGGTGGTGGCGGTGGTGCTGGTGGTGATGATGGTGATGGTGGTGGCGGTGATGGTGATGGTGGTGCTGGTGGCGCTGGTGGTGGTGATGATGGTGGTGGTGATGGTGGGGGTGGTGGGGGTGCTGGTGGTGATGATGGTGGTGGTGGTGGCGGTGGTGCTGGTGGTGCCGGGGCCACTGGTACGGTGGTGGTGGCGGTGGTGGTGATGATGGTGGTGGCAGTGGTGGCGGTGGTGGTTGTGGTGGTTGTGGTGGTGGAGATGGCGGTTGTGGTGGTGATTGTTGTGGTGGTGGTGGTGATTGTCGTTGTGGTGGTGGTGGTGATGGTGATGGTGATGGCGGTGGTGGTGGTGATGATGATGCTGGTGGTGGTGGTGGTGATGGTGGTGGCGATGGGTGATGATGGTGATGGTGGTTGTGGTGGTGATTGTTGTGGTGGTGGTGGTGGGTGGTGTGTGTGGTGGTGGCGGTGGTGGTGGTGGTGGTGGCGGTGGTGGTGGTGGTGGCGGTGGTGGCGGTGGTGGTGGTGGTGGATGGTGCTGGTGGTGATGGTGGTGGGGGTGGTGGTGGTGGTGGTGATGGTGGTGATGGTGGTGGAGGTGATGATGGTGGTGGTGCTGGTGGTGCTGGTAGCGATGGTGGGGGTGGTGGTGATGATGGTGGTGGTGCTGATGGTGGTGCTGGTGGCAGTGGTGGTGGTGATGGTGGTGGTGCTGATGGTGGTGGTAGTGGTTGTGGTGGTGATGATGGCGGTGGTGATGGTGCTGCTGGTGGTGGCGGTGGCGGTGGAGGTGGTGCTGGTGGTGGTGCTGGTGGTGGTGATGATGATGGTGGTGCTGGTGATGATGGTGGTGCTGGTGGCGCTGGTGGTGGGTGATGGCGGTGGTGGCGGTGGTGGTGGTGGCGGGGGTGGCGGTGATGTTGGTGATGGTGGTGTTGATGGCGATGGTGGCGGCGATGATGGCGGTGGTGGTGGTGAAGATGGTGGTGTTGATGGCGGTGGTGGTGGAGGCGCTGGTGGTGATGGCGGTGGGTGCTGGTGGTGGTGGTTGGTGGTTGGGGTTGACGGTTGATGATGGTGCTGGGCGGTGGCGGAGGTGGTGGATATGGTGGAGGAGATGGTGGCGGTGGTGATGATGATGGTGGCGGTGGTGATGATGATGGTGCTGGTGGTGCTGGTGCTGCTGCTGGTGGTGGTGGCGCTGGTGGTGGTGATGGTGGTGCTGCTGGTAATGGTGGTAGTGGTGGTGGTGGTAATGGTGGTAGTGGTGGTGGTGATGGTGGTGATGTTAATGATGGTGATGGTGGTGATGTTAATGATGGTGCTGCTGCTGCTGCTGGTGGCATCAGTGACTCACCCCCATCTCCCCCCTCCCCTCCCCTCCCCACAGACGAAGACTGGGGAACCCTCCCAGGACTCGCCGTTGCTCTCTCTCCCCACACTGTACAACCCCCCACCGCACCACCACCACAACCACCACCACCACCCGCACCACCACCACCACCACCTTCCCTGCGACGATCCCTGGCCGCACGAGAGCTCCCTGCTGCTGCTGTTGCCCCCCTGTTCCTCGCCCGGCGGGGTCGCGGTCGGGGTCGGGTGCGAGGGGGATGAGGGGGACGACGGTGAGGGCGGCGAGGGGGATGAACGGGCGGACGACTCGCTGGCGGAGAGCGGCTTTGAGGACAGCATCAGCAAGCTGGTGCTGGAGGACGACATGGAGGATCCGGCAGTGATCAGGGCCGGGGTACGAAGGCCGCTCACAGAGGTGAGGTCTGCAGGGGCGTGTGGGTGTGTGGTGTGTGAGTGAGGGGTGTGAGTGAGTGGCGTATGAGGTGTGAGTGGGTGCGGTGTGAGTGGTGGGTGAGTGGGTGAGTGTGTGGTATGTGGTGAGAGTGGTGTGAGTGAGAGTGGTATGGTGTGTGGTGCAAGTGTGTTGTATGTGGTGAGAGTGAGAGTGGTGTGGTATGTGGTGAGAGTGGTATGAGTGTGATGGAGGACCCGGCGGTGATCGGGGCCGGGGTGCGAAGGCCGCTCACGGAGGTGAGGTCTGCAGGGGCGTGTGAGGGGTGTGTGGGGTGAGTGGTGTGTGGGGTGAGTGTGTGTGAGTGAGGGGTGTGGGGTGTGAGTGGGTGCGGTGTGAGTGAGTGGTATGTGTGGGTGAGTGGTGTGTGGTGTGGGTGAGTTAGTGGTATGTGTGGGTGAGTGGTGTGTGTGTGTGAGGTGAGTGGGAGTGGTAGTGTGAGTGAAGTGAGTGAGTGAGGAGTGTGGTGTGAGTGTGTGGTATGGTACGTGGTGTGAGTGTGTGATATGGTATGTGGTGAGAGTGGTGTGGTGAGTGGTGTGAGTGTGCGGTGTGGTATGGTGTGTGGTATGTGGTGAGAGTGGTGTGAGTGTGTGATGGAGGACCCGGCAGTGATCAGGGCCGGGGTGCGAAGGCCGCTCACGGAGGTGAGGTCTGCAGGGGGTCTGTGAGTGTGTGTGTGACTGTGTGTGTGGTGTGGGGTGTGAGTGAGTGGTGTGGGTGAGAGTGGGTGTGGTGTGTGGGGTGAGGTGTGTGAGGTGAGTGGTGTGAGTGAGTGGTGTGGGAGGTGAGGGGGTGTGAGGTTAGTGGTGTGGTGTGTGGGTGAGGGGTGAGTGTATAAGTAAATGGTGTGTGGGTTAGTGGTGAGGTTTGGGTGAAGTGTGTGTGTGTGTGTTTCCACTGTGGTTCTGCGTTGGCTGGGTCATGTCGTCCGCATGCCTAAGCAGCTTCTCTTCGGCCGCGTAGAAGGGGCTTAACAGGCGCGGCACGGGCTAGAGAAGAGATGGAGTGATGGGTGAGTGAGTGGTTGAGTGATAGATGGGTGAGTGGGTGGCACGGGCTAGAGAAGAGATGGAGTGATGAGTGAGTGAGTGGCACGGGCTAGAGAAGAGATGGAGTGATGGGTGAGTGGGTGAGGCACGGGCTAGAGAAGAGATGGAGTGATGGGTGAGTGAGTGGGTGGCACGGGCTAGAGAAGAGATGGAGTGATGGGTGAGTGGGTGAGTGAGTGGCACGGGTTAGAGAAGAGTTGGAGTGATGGGTGAGTGAGTGAGTGGCACGGGTTAGAGAAGAGATGGAGTGATGGGTGAGTGGGTGAGGCACGGGCTAGAGAAGAGATGGAGTGATGGGTGAGTGGGTGAGGCACGGGCTAGAGAAGAGATGGAGTGATGGGTGAGTGGGTGGTTGAGTGACGGATGGGTGAGTGGTGGGTGAGTGGCACGGGCTTGAGAAGAGATGGAGTGATGGGTGAGTGAGTGAGTGGCACGGGTTAGAGAAGAGATGGAGTGATGGGTGAGTGGGTGAGGCACGGGCTAGAGAAGAGATGGAGTGATGGGTGAGTGAGTGGGTGGGTGGCACGGGCTAGAGAAGAAGGGAGTGATGGGTGAGGAGTGAGTGGGTGGCACGGGCTAGAGAAGAGATGGAGTGATGGTGAGTAGTGGCACGGGCTAGAGAAGAGATGGAGTGATGGGTGAGTGGGTGGCACGGGCTAGAGAAGAGATGGAGTGATGGGTGAGTGGGTGGCACGGGCTAGAGAAGAGATGGAGTGATGGGTGAGTGGGTGGCACGGGCTAGAGAAGAGATGGAGTGATGGGTGAGTGAGTTGGTGGCACGGGCTAGAGAAGAGATGGAGTGATGGGTGAGTGAGTTGGTGACACGGCTAGAGAGAAGAGATGTGAGTGATGGGTGAGTGAGTGGGTGAGGCACGGGCTAGAGAAGAAGATGGAG